CAGTCACCTTCTAACAATGCCTTTTTCTAGCAGAGCCTGCTATCAGGAGCTAGCAAAGTACTATAAAATATATGTAAGTGCTAGTTATTTGTGAGAATTACAGGGGAGGGAATGGAGGGGTACAAACACGTGATATACTGTGTCATTAAGTATTAATAATGACTATAAATGACTATTTACACAGGTAGAAGGCCCAGTGGAAGATGATTTTGTTAGGCACTGTAAGCACATGTTGCAGGGAGATGATCCCTGTCAAAGCAATATGTACATTCAGAGACAATGGTGTATTTACATAGGTTATCTATGTGCTCTCTAATATCAGTATCTTTGTATCGCTGGAGAAAAGATATTTGATTACTACCAGCATTGGGAAGAGGTCAACTCTGCAGTCTTGGTAGCATAGTGTTATCATAGTCAAAACCAGCAGTGAAATTCTCCCTGGATGTACATAAGTTCTATTCTTGTCAGAAGCACTGATATTATGACTATGCCCACCTCCGTGTGAGAAGGAGGTCCTCAGTAGTATGGATTTACATTGCTTTCTTAGGGCACCTCCTGGATGGCACAAGATATGTTTGCTGCATCTGAGCTAGCCAAGCCAGTTACCTCTGGTCACTGAGTAGAGCTAGCTGAGAATTTTCTATTTCAATAGGTTGAGCTCTTTAGTCACTATATTATTAGACTTGCTCCCACAAGGACTATCATCACTATTGTGCATAGTGATTCTATATATGTTGTATACTATAGTGCATTACCAGATTCCCATTGCTGTGGTGGAGTTGGTGGCATTGTAGAAATACATATCTTTAGGAAGAGTGTAATACAGGAGAGATTTTGAAGAAGGGAAAATCTGGAAATACTGGGGATGAAGATATAAAGGATAAAGCTGTGGGTAGAGCAGAGACAGAGACGGTGGTCAGTGTATTGGTAAGAGACAGAGAGCTAAGCATGGACAGTGCATGTATCTGATCAAACACTGCTTGTGGGAGACACTAGCCTAATCTCTGAAACACCCACGTCAAGTCCTAAAAGCCATTTTATCTGAACCCACTTTGCAAGAATTTACCTGCAATGTGTTGGCACCCTGGAGACTGTCTGTAAGAAAATGTTTTAAGGGTAAAAAAAACAAATATCTGACTTTGGGGAAAGAGAAAGAAACAAGTACTGTATATCAAGAAAAAGATAAAGCTGCCTCATGGTACACTACCTAATTCTGACAGAAGTCAAGATAGATCTGCACATGATAAACTAACTACACTGGAGATGCATAAGCTTTCATAAGCAGGGGCTTACTTCATCAGTGGGGAGGTAGCTGTTCTTAGAAAAAAACCCTCTAAAAAGGAATGTGACCAGAAAAATGCAGAACAAAAAAATCACCCACGGGTTGGATTTTGTTTACATAATCATTCACATGTTGAATAAAACTATGGAGCCTTATTCCATTACCTGGATTATCTTTTATAACCATTATATCCCTCATTGGGGTAACTTTTTTTTTTTGCTCTCTCCTACCCATGTACCTCTCAGCAGCTCCCTCTCCTTTTTCCTCCCCCTTCCCTACCCTTTGTATTGTAATTAATGATTCCTGTTGAAGAAACTCTGCTTCCCTTTATAAAGTCAGACGAAGTCATTGTTTACACAAGCGTATGCACGTGTGATTTAGTTAGCTCACAAGGTGCGTGTCTACCTTGCTTTTTGCCTGACTTCAGACTATTTCTCGCTGCCTAATTCTGAGCCTCTTCTTTGTAAATGCACTACAGGGCAATCACCTCTTTCAAAACAAAATACTTGGCACGTCTGTATGGGTCCCATACCTTCAAACATGATTCTGAGACAATTCCTTCCTGGGTTTTGTTTTTTCCCACCCACTGGGTGCCACTGCAGGTTCATTAATGCACCATGGTTACTGCACCTTCAATTTAGTATCTGTAATAACAGGTAGTAAATTGAATGCGCAGTAACTGTTTTTGTGAAGCTACTACGTGGTAGACTAATTCTGCTGTGCATTAGCGCTGCTTTTGCAGTGACATGCTAATGCGCAGTATCATTTAGCATCTCGTGTAGATGTGCCCACCGCATCACTCATTGGATCAGTTTTCACTTAAAAGAGTAGAAGGACCTGTTCTGATGTTAGGTCCAGCTTGCAGCTTGCTATGTTTGGGCTCACTTATGAGAAGAGCTGGCCAGACAAACAAATAACTCTAAACTAGCTATGAAAGGAGAAGTAATTTGTTTTGCTTCACTCAAGGGAATAGTCCAATTTGGCCCATGGTGAAGACTTGATTCTGATGCTATGAACTGAACAATTCTTTCCATTTGTAATGCACCATTAATTGAATTCTCTATGAGATCAGAGTGTGTGCAGCTAAATTTATTAAAAAGCTTGAAAATCATAAGTAGACAGAGGAAGAAGTCATTAAATTTGATGGCATCAATGCGTAAGATCAGCCCATGACTGACAAAGGAATTTCCCTACCTCACGTATAGAATTCACACGGTTAGGCACGTGTCATGATTCATCTTTGAAGCATGGTACTGAGGTCCAAGACCTGTTGGGTTTCTGGTCCCATGCAGCACAGCAAGCCCTCCACACACCTATGTTGCTAGACATTCCCTTGAAACGGTCAGACAAAGACCAAGATATCTCTCTTCTCCATCTGAATCTGGCCAAGAGAGAAATTGCAGCTCACTCCCTCTTTTATAATGCATACCATCAGGAGAAATGCTTCTGAACTCATTAGCATGTGATTTACATGCAGCTATGATTTCCATCCATTTGGAAGCAGAGGCTAATGCGGTATGTTGTGGCCTGCTTGTTAAGTGAAGCATCACTGCATTCTACTTCTAAATGAAGCTCAGTGCTGGTCATGACCCTCAGTGGCTCTTCTACTTGAGAGAAGTGCCTCTTTCCTTCTAACAAACTGACACAAAAAGAGATCAACAGACGTACACAAGCTGGCGCATCCTACACGCGCAAACCCCTGGCAAGAAGCTCTACATAAGGATTATCTGATTTTGGAATTTTCTAAGGCTTTTGTTCAAAACGGCCACATTTATTTCCTTGGTGATGCTCTTAAGTTCCCAAAATCCATGGAAGAGACCTAAATCGCTGCTTTTAGGCCTGTGATTCCAGCATTTAACCAACTGTAAAAGCACAGCCAGGGCGTTTCTGAGATCTTATCTGCATGTTTAAGAATGTTATCTATATTTTTTACAAATGGTACAACTCCTAAATGCATCATACAAAGTACTAGCTTAAAAATCCCCAAATTCTCAGTTCCCAATGATTCTTCAGATAGACATGACTCCTTCTATGACCTTTCTGCAAATCTTGAATGATTTTCTGATTAGGATAAGTAGAAAACCTTTTGGAAATTAGACTCCTTATATAATTCTTAAGCTGTGTTTTATTGTTGCTGCTGTTGTATTGTTTCCTTATGAAATATATCCTGCATGAATTGCATCCTAAAGCATCTAGGAGGTGGAGAACATGCTGCTTGGGAAGATACAGCCCCTCAGGGACTGTGGAAATTGGAGTCTGTGCAGCTTCAACAGATGAGCTCTGAAATGGATCAGTCTTAGCTAGGGAGCAGGCAGGGAGTTGGGCATTGGGCAGCTGTTCCTAAGCCATGCAGAAGCCTGTTCTTTCCTTGTGAGGAAAATAAAATTTGCAGGAACTACCTGGATCAGAGGTAACCACGTTCTCTTCCATGTCAGTAAACCAGCCTGTTTGAGAAGCCATCTAAGGTGACAGATGTATTACTGAGGGCCCTGTTACATATTAATTTTAGGCAGCTCCTGGTGCTCTTAACCCCTGGAGCGTCCATACATTAACACCCGATACAAGTTTTAAGCACACTTTAGGCAGCTTAAAGTTATGCTACTCCAGGGCAGGATTATCTCTGATCCATGTTATTCAGCTTGTGTTGTATTAATGTGCAGCCACTCCTCACAAGTGAGCCATCTGAACTGCAGTCCTCCAGCATCCCTCACCCCTCAGTTTTGTGCAGACATACTTTCTACCCTCTAAACTCTACTGCCCAGGGAGCAGTTCTGGCACCAAGCCAACTCCCCCTCCCACCCTGAGGGTCTGACCTTCCCACCCGCAGGCGTGCAACCCTGTGCAAACAGCCTGTAGAACACATACCAGCTGGACAGGTTACAGGGTCCAGGAGTGGGGTCTAAGAGGGGTGGGATGGAACAAAGTATGGGGTCAGATCAGGTTTCCTTTCCAGGGCAGGGACAGTAGCTCCCCCAAAAGTGCCCTCCCTCCCTGTTCCTACTTCCTAGTCACACCAGGAACCAGAACCAGCACCCCTCACACCCCAATCGCAAATCCCAATTTATTAAAACATGAGACCTTCTTCAATTTACTTCCTCTTTATTGCTTTTTAAATTCTTTTTTTAACTTCATTTTATTTTTTCCTTCAGTGACTGACTTCCTTCATTTCAACACCCTTCTGCCACTCCCATTTTCTCTCCATCTCCTATTTTATTATTCACCCCATCCCATTAACTCTGCACCTCACAGCTTCATGTTCCTGCCCCTGCTCCAACCCATCTCTCACGCCCCCTCCCCTACCTAGAGCAGGGATAGAGGTCTGTCTTTGGTCCCCTCTAGTGGCAATTCACATCTGTAGCTCCTAGTCAGGTCACTGTTCACCAGCCCTCTAGCAAGTCACAGATGTGCAGGTGGGGGACAGTCAGAGAAGGTTTTAATCGTAAGGTGTGACTGCTCCAAACTCAAGCTAGAACTAACACTGATCAACATTTGAGCAGCTCAAAATGCTATGTGTAACAAGGCCCTGAGATATCTCCCAGTAATCAAGCCTCTTTTCTTCTACTAATTGTTTGTCTTCTACCTCTGGGAATTTCTTCCCCAGCCAATTTCACAGCTCTATCCACTGTTTTTAAAAATTGCTGTACTTGCTTCCTTCCCCAGACCTGAGGGAGATCGCTTTGCATTCAAAAGCTCATCTACATTTTTCCAAGCCATGCAGTCATTCCAATAAAAGATTGGCCTCCCAAACACTTCGTTGCCTCTCACATAATTCCTGGACCATCATAGCTACATCACTTGAACCATCTAACACTATCTTCTGCTTGAACAAGAGTGATTTTGCTGTCAGAGCTTCCTCTCTCTGACTACAGGAATTAGTGGAAGTAACAGAGTATGAGCATTCGTCAGGGTCCCCAGCCTGAGACATATAGGGTTCATCTACACATGCATTTAATTGTGGATTAGACTAATTAACCATGGAGTAAAGCATTGCCATCTACACATTTAACAGTATCAGGCCACAGTAAACTAATAAACACCACAGTAAGATAATACTGTTGGGGACAGTACTATGTTATGCCAGTACACACAAATTTACTGTGATTAAACACACGTGGAGATGATGACTAAGGGAATAAATTGTGCCCAGTCTGCCCAACCAGCTGGGGGACAGACTTCTGCCTGCCATCTAGCCACATGGCTCCATGCTTTCAGCAGTCTCATGCCTCAACCAGCACCTCTGACACCTGATGCTGCCACCCAGAGACTGGGGCTGAGTGGTCCTGGTATAAGCTGCTCTGTCCTGGCTCAAATCGCTGCTGTCCCAGGCTCACATGTAGATGCCATGCCTGGGAGTACTTTACTAAAGCTCAAACTGCTCCTGAGTTTGCTTTAAATTAATAGCACATGTAGACATACCCAAAGAGAATAATTCTGAACTGTGGGAAGCAGAAGAGGCCAGAAAAACGGACAGCATTAGAAAAAGTGGATGTTTACCACCAACAGGAGAGAAACCCTTGGAGTGATGGAAGGAGTGGTGATTGCTAAAGAAGAACTGTGTTCATGTCTTCTAGATGCTCCAAGGAGACAGAAGAAAAAGACGAAAAGTAGCTTTGGGCTAAAACCACAGATCTGGAAGGCACTCAGGTTTTGGAGTTATTGCAACCTGTGTGTATTTATTATTTTGGTGAGTATGTTTTTATTTTATGCATCTTCAATCCATTTGCCTAGGGTTCTCCCTTCAGAAGCCTCCCCTGTGCTAGGATTTCAATATTTACTTGTAAAAGCTAATTTGCTGTTAATGGGGAGGAAGGTGTAATTCCATTAGCTCCCAAAGTGTTTCAGTTCCTCTAATTGGTTTGGATCTGGCCCTCTCCAGACTGTGAGCTCTGTCTGCTGCCCGCTGACACCAATTATGCATAGCTGAAGAGTGGACAACCTCTCCTGCTCCATAGGTCTCTTGCTATGTGAGACCCACCTGGCATCTATTTATGACTTTTTAGTCATCTTTATCAGCGGAAGAGAAGCCTCACATTTTATCCAGGTATTAAGCACTGTGCTCAGATATCAACTGGAAATTGCTTCTGCTTGCAACATGTCTGACACAAGCACCCTCCATTGGTATTATAAATACTTGTTTTATACCCTACCAAGCAAAACAAGGCAACAGCAAAAGAGCACTATACTCAACTATGTTTTTGGATGTTTGGGTTTTTTTCATGGCTCATGCATAACGCCACAGTCACTAGTAAAGAAAACAGAAATCGCCCCATCACAGGAAAGTACCCCCCACCATCCCCTGCTCCCTGTAGCTATCACTAGTATTAGGACTTTTCTCTTTGTAAAAGAAAGCCAAGAAAAAAACCTCACAAATATATAGATATTGCTTCTCTTGTATGTGCACACACACAAACCATTTTGTAACTTCAAAGGTCTTTTACAACTATTAGCTAAGATCTTTTACAACTATTAGCTAATTCAAGTAGCTCTAAAGTTATCCACTGAAGACACACACACCAGCCAGTGCATTACAGTGTTTCCAGTCCAGGAAGTAAGTATATCTGTTGCATGGGGCTCTTCCATTTCTCCTGTGCATGATGCTCGGATGTTCTCCTAATCAATGCACTAAGTTTTCTGCATAATTCAAATGCAGGTTTGATTAAAATCTGGAATGAAGCAGCCACGATTTGTGTCTCTTTGGACATGATGGGCTGGATCCTAAAACAACATAAACTGATATAACTATAATGACTTCAATAGAAATAAACCTAGTTATATCTGCAAGGTTTTGACTTAATGATTTTTTATTTCCACCTCCCCTCTTTCCCCCTTAAGAACACAGCTTTATAAAAGCAGATCAAGGTGTCAAGGACATTTTCCAGAAAGAGCATGCCCTTCTCAAGAAGGTCATTAGAGTTTTGTTGGTTTTGTGGTAGGCCAGTAGTTGTTACCAGCCATGCTGTTATGGGCAACAAACTGACTTCAGCCATCACATAAGGAAATGTGTTGTCACAAGGATTGTTTCAAGTAAGTGTTTGAATAAAAGGTTTCAAAGCAAAGAAAAATCCCTCAATCTGTGTAGTAAATATAGGCTCCTGGGACTCTATATAATGTAAGCTAGTAAAATCAGTTAAGGAGCCTTTCAAATGCTGGGTAGGAACAGCAGGCTGTGGGTGGGCTGCTGTACTCTGTGAAGGCTGACTGTTAATATCCAGACCTCAAATGCCAATTTTCCATTCACTGCTGTAAAATAGCAGACTATCCTGTGGTAAAAATAACCATGTGAGACATGTAATACATTCCAGAGTTTGCTTCACCTACAACACATAGTCAAGAATGTGTCTGTGAAAGTTCATCGGGCATTTATGTCACTGCTGGACCAAAGAATCCATTTCAAGTTTGTAATCTGGAGAGAGGAGGGGTGGACAGGGGAATGCTGTAAGTGCATTGCCCACTTGTTCGGTATTTACTATCCAGAGAACTCAGAGGATCACTATCATGGGGCAAGGGCAAAGAATCACAGATACTTTTTTCTAACACCAAACAAGAAAGTTTAGAAGAATGTTATCTCCCCCAAAAAGGGCACCTATACACGAGCACCAAAGATGCTCCGACGTGCTGAAATTCCAGCACATCGGAGCAGACTCCATTTATTGAGTCTGCTGGAGCGTGGCAATTGCCATGCTCCAGCAGCCTCCTGCATCTCATGTATCGGCATCCCCACGCTTCAAAATGGTGGCGGGGGCGCTTGAACTAAAGCTCATTTGATGATACAGGAGATGCGGCAGTGTCTTAGAATAGCTCTCAGAGCCACTCTAATTAAAGCGCCATGCTCCCCTGCCCCCATGCCCGGAGCACGTGTAGAAGTCCCAAAAGCTTCTTGCCCTTAGTCTCTGATGCACTTTAGAATTTCTGCCTAATCATATTCCCTAGCCCTCTTCTGCTTAGATTCTCCCACAGATTTAAATGAACTGTACCCCCAGCCTCACATTTCTGTATCTGATGGTTAAAGAATGTTTTCCATCCAAATCTCTTTTGAGACCCAGTCTGCCCCACTGACATCAAAGGCCAAAGCCCAGTGGGAAGAGGATCCAGTCCATAATCTGTGCTAAATTGGTAGCTAGCAATTTCTAAAAATTAGGGGAAAAATCCTCTTTGTCTAAGCCAAGATTCAAATTCTGCCTCCATTACCAGCTTAAGTAGCATTCTTCTAACATTTTCCCTGGGGCATGTAAAAAGTTGGCTTTCATGTAATTATGACTCTGAAGAGTTCAAAAATGGTTTCCTAAACACAGGAGGATTGTTCCTCACCACCATTACTTTATCAATTCTGAACTTGGCTTTATCAATCTGCAGTTTCTGTATTCTGTAGAATAAGACACAGTAACAATGTCTACCCAAGACATTTCCTGTGGAGTAGACTAATTATTTCTTCAGTAATCATCTTGCATCTACACATGCAGGGCTATTAGGCTGGAGTAAACTGATAAACTTCACATTAGGGTAGTACTTGTAAATACAAGTTCTATCTTGCTGCAGAGATTTTTACTTTGCAACAGTGCAGGTGTAGATGCTGATGTGGCTCGCTGGGCCATGAGGGTGCTTGAGTGTGGGGGCTGCTTGCCGGCTGGCCTGCACAATGGAGCACCCTTATGCCCCAGCCAGCCCCTCTGGAGGATGTTGAGCCAAGTCAGAGAAGCCCCAGGCTGGCAAACTAACCCCCAGGTCTCCTGTCAGCCAGGGCAGCTCTGACCCAGTACAACATGCTGCAGTCCTGAGAGCACGTTCAAACAGTGCACCCGTGAGCAGTAAACTCTGGTGCAATAAGCACTGAAGTTTATTGCTCCACCCTAATTGCATGTGTAGACATGCCCAGTCAGAACCAATCCCACCATCCAGTCCAAGCATCCCTCAGATCATTGCCTGTGATCACAAGGGACTGGACTCGATGAGCCATGTAGTCCTTTCCAGGCCCTGTGTCTTTCTACCTACCTCTACTTGGCTTTCATGCGTGATTATACTTCTAATTGTGCTTATGGTTTCTTACTCTCTAAAAAAATTAAGAGAATCATAATAATCAAGCATTTACCCTATGATTGTAAGGCTCTTATGCTTGTATTCTGCTTTAGTATTTGCTGCACACCAGCAAAAACTGCCTTTGTCTCCTTTATGCGTGTTGTGTGCTTCTGTATGCCCCTTGCTGGTAGTTATTAATGTAATCATAAAATGGTATTTAGTAATTTGTAATGGCTTCTTCATTATGGGCTGTTCTGCTTTGCTACTGATTTTCATGATATTCTGGGATTATGTATTAGAAAAGTTAACTAAAGTAGGCCCAGTTTTAGAAACACTTGTGCATACATGATCCCATTAGAGTCACTGTAAGTGTGATGTGACTCAAGCATAAATGTTAACAGGGTAAGGGCCCAGCTTTGTGACTTCTTGAACCCTAAGTATCATTAAAAACCTGGCAAAAACAGCTACCATAAAATAAGAAAAAGTGAAATATTATGGCTTTACTTTAATTTTTTTCTAGTTGTGTTCAGAAGGAGGCAAATTCTGATACCCTTATGTACGCTGGATAGCATGCTACAACACATGCATTCAATGTGAAAGAGTAGGAACCAGACCCACTCTGCTTATGGAACCATTATAACTGTATTAAAGCCTGCTGACTGCCACAGAGTCCCAGGAATACAAACTGACCTGACTTCTGATACATGAAGAGGAACAGCTCCTCACCATAGAGGAGAGAACACCAGGCCCTTTCACACATACCTCAACCATCTTTGGTCACAAAAGAAAACACACACAACCTCCCCCTCTCCCTTGTCAAAGGATAGAATTACCAGGATTTTGTTCCCAAAGTTTAGTCATGCTAAAAGCAAACCAGGAGGTTAAAAATTATGACTCCTTGGATATGTCTATCTGTAAATTAATGCACAGTAAGGCTACTGCACAGCAAAATAAGGCACTTGGAACATATATACACATGTGCCCCGTTGGGCACAGATTTTTGTCCAGTGGGAACAGCCTGGTCCAGTGCTGTTCCTTCCCTGCTCTGCCTCCCTGCACCAGCCGGGGGGAGCTCCAGGCTCCCCCAGGTGGCCTGCCCAGGGGCTGACAGAGGAAATGGGGGGTTGGTCCTGATATGCACAGGACCAGGAGACCTGTGCTGGCAGCAGGGGCAACTGGCTCCTGCCCTGCACACACCAGGACCAGTCCCCATGTGCACAGGGCCAGGAGAGCTATGGTGGCTGCAGGGGCTGGAAGCCACCTACTCCTGCAGCTAGCAAAGCTCTCCTGGCTCTATGCGCATCAGAACCAGTCCCCATGTGCACAGGGTGGGAGACAGCTGCCTCTGTAGCTCCCCCAACATGGCTTAGCCAGGCAGCTATTGCCCCTTGCTGCCTGGGATGACCGGGAGCAAAATTGCTCCCGGTCAGCATCTACGCAAGCACTGCTGTGCAACACCTAATGCTCTGTTTATCTAGTACCTGCAAGGCCATCCCTGGCGGGGAGGGGAAGGGGGGCAAATCGGGGTGACCACCCTGGGCCCTGCGCTGTGGGGGCCCCGCAGAGCAGGGTGGAGCAGTGGCAGCACGGAGCTGGGAGGAGCGGTGGCTCCACATCCAGCAGCTTGCTTCCCTCCTTCCCCTGCCACTGATGCTGCTACTGCAGCTTTTTCACGTCCAGGGGGAGCAGAGCAGGGACAGAGCCCAGCATGGGTTGATGGACCCTGGGCCCCACACCCTGCTCGGGTCAGCTCTGAGTACCTATCTGTGTTGGTACTAGCAAATGGTGCATTAGACTAATTTAATGTGCAGTAAGTCCAGAACACATGTAGATAGTGACTCTTTACTGTGCGTTAGATTAGTTTAATGCACAGTGAAGCATCTCATGTAGACATGCCCCTTGTTTGTGTTTTTAGCAACACTGAGCTACTAATTCACATAAATCTTCACTGAAGTTGGTGGAGGTTTTATCACTGACTTCCAAAGTACTCAGATGGCCAAACTCTGCTGCTATTTAAAACCTCATTTTTAACATATATTTGAATTCTAGATGGATTTGAGCCAGTTTACATAACTTTTGCTGACCCCTTAAAGAGATCCCTTATTCGGCTTTACCAAAGGCACAGCCAAAAAAAAGGATCGAGCAAGCAAGTAGTTCCTTTATGGAACTAAGGAAATAATGCACAAACAGCATATATTTGTTAATTAATTTAACTTCTGTCTGCTCACAAATCCTCCCTTTTCCCATTATTCACAGTTATTCAACTATCATTTAAATATATTTTTATTCATTTTATGGGTTGACTGCAAGTATTGAAAAGTTGAACTATAGTGTTGAGCTATGACTGGTCACTTAAGATATAACTGTATGAGCACAAAAGGATTTCTGGTAACAGTACTGTGACTTTAAAATTTGTTTTTCATCAATACTCATGCATACAAATTACATATTTGATTTCCACAAACATAATGCCATCAGTTATATGCCCAAGGGGAATATGAAATAGGTGCAAACGCAAAGAAAGACAATCTATTTAGGAAGTCAAATATATTCTCACAAGCTGAGATTTTCAAGCCTATCTAGAAGACTAAGATAGACTAAGACAGACTAAGATAAATCCATTATTTTCCATAGGAATTGTCCATCTAAATCCTCTAAGCAAATTAGAAAATCTTACTAAGTCACTTCCGTTATTCATCCAG